CTGGGTTTTTGCTACCTAATTAGGTTTTAACGAGGCACACACCTTGGGCTGGTCATATCCCTGATGACGTCCCGTAGACGTTTATTTGACTTTTGCATTTCTCACGCATTTTTTCTTAGATTATGGATTTTGTCCCTACTCGGGTTTTTGCCATAGCCTTAGGGTTTTTTTAGTGAGACTTACTACTTATGCAAGTTTTTACCTTATTGAGAATAAGTGTTGTTCTTTAGAATCAATGCGAATGAGTCGACTTCCTCAACTTCTGTATGATGCTAAATCTACCTTGAGTATTTACACACTCAAGGGGGAATGTTGGAAACATTCATAGTTTAAGTGTGATTGTGTAAATCCTAAATTAGATTTGATTCTAGTTATCATTTCCTATTGTATCTTGTATTCCTTGCGGATGAACGAATATCTTCTCTCATTATATTACTATAAATAAAGGAAAAATGTAGGAGGGATAACAACACACATATTTCTCTACATTTCAACAAATACATCTCTCTCTCTTCTTATCCTTGCCGCCGGCCACCCTAAATTTATCAGATAAAATAGACCACAACATTACTTTTTTTTTACTTGAACTAGGGTGGATTCAAAAAATAAATTGAACTAAAGTAGAATAAAAATGAATAAAAAAATCAAATTGAAATAGAAATCCGAACCGAATTGAAGTACTCAAGTTTCGATTTCAGCAATTTGAAAGCTGAACCAAATTGTCTTAAAACAACGTCGTTCTACAAGTTTTCTTATAAGGCTATGTGCTTAAACCCAAAATTAATAAACTTTTTTATCTATGGCAATAAACCTTTTTATTTAATTTCATAAAGGCTCACATCTAAATACCTCCGAGTATGGCGCGACATCAGTGCTTACGTTCTGCATTGTACATGATTGTCTTGTCAGCAAGGTTCTAAAAGACGCTAGCGCTAGTCGGGCGGCGGGCTGGAGCCTAGCACTTTAGCAGTTTGGCGGGGCCTAGGAGAATTTAAGTAAATTTATTATATTTCGTGTAAATAAGTGTTTTTCTACATAAAATATATGTAATTACATCATAAACTACAAAATAGAATGACATATATATTATGAAGTATTGGAATATAATTAAAACATGGGGAACAAGCATATAATATGTGTCATTTAAGCATTTAACAAGTCTCTTACAATTTACTGAAAAAAAATAAAATGCAATATGGAAGTTATCTATTTTCTGTCTAAGTAAGTCGCAACCTAGATGGATCTGGGAGGGTTAGGCGGGTGCCTAGGCGGTTTAGGCTGACGCCTCAGCAGGTCTAGGGCCCTTTCTTAATTTCCAAACGCCTATGCATTAATTGGAGCAGTGACCAACCGCTTAGTGTCGAGACGGGGCCTAGGAGGCGCTAAGCGGGGATTTTTAGAATAATAGTTGAACCGCTTCTTGATCATAAAACTCTTGTGCGACGGTATTTTTGCAGACTTGGAGAACCCCTACGAAGTTTACAGCACATACTTCTCTCATCCTCCTTGCTATGATTTTTCATATTTTATTTTTTATTTTTTTAACCAATTTTCAAATTTGTTAAAAAATATCTGACTCGAAAAAATAGAACTGGAAACAAACCCCAAAAAAAAAAAAAAAAACTGAAGAAAACAAAATCGAACCAAACCAAAAAATAATTTCCATTTGGTTTTTCGGTTTTGGCAAACAACCGAACCGAATGAACCAAATCCACCCTTAACTTTAACATTAAATTTCTTAGGCGTTCATAAAAGCCGAATTTTCATGTCTTTCGACATATAACGATAGTGTGTTCGGTCTTAAAGGGTGTGCCAATAGATGTTAGTCTCAAAATCTATCTCAATTGCAAAGCTGAGGATTTCGAAATCTCTTGGTCCTTCAAGTTTGTGTTGCGGGCATGCTAACTTGCAGCTTGGAGGCCAATCGAGTAAAATGTAATTGGCGCTTTGTTTGACTTCTTTCAAAACCATTGTGCATACTGAGGAAGGAACGCATCTCGGTTGTGCATCCTTGTGCCTTATGTGCAAGGACTTTGATGGGTCTTGTTACATGATGTGTGAATTCGTATGTTTTTGTGATAGGCGAGAAATACATAAGGTCGAGATATTCGCATGTGATAGATACGATGAATGTGTAGTGGATTTGGTTATCAGGGTGTGGTAGGTGACCTGAGTGCTACGATGAATCGTATAAATCCAAGCAAACTGGTTGTGGGGATTGATTTGAAAAGGAACTCAAATGTAAACTATAATAATCTAAATTAAAATTTGAAGTGCGAGGTGGAAAATAAATCGAAATATACAAAATTAAAATACTGATATAGACTTTAAATTACTGTATTGAAGTGCAGGGCAAACATGGAATTAAAGCGAATAACAAAAAATAATTAAAAAGATAAATTTTACCTAGTGTAGAATGGAAAGCGAGTGATATAATGCAAAAATATGGTTCGTGATGTGAATTTAAACCAACCTAGTAAAAAGATTAATTCAAACTAAATTTAATCGCAAGTGCATGAATCAATTATGGTAGAAATTTATATATACTACATCGAATCCACCGGGGTTGAATTACCAATTGAGTCTATAACTAGTACTTAACAAATTGAAATAAAGATTGGACTTGTATCAAAGAAAAATTAAACCTACACAATGACTAAACAGAAATATGGTTGAAACAAATGTAAGAAAACACTAAGGTTTTGATTCCACCACTATTGTCGTACCCTAATATCTAATTGTGAATTCATGAATTATTAGATATTAACAAAAATAACTTATGTACACATGTACGTGGTCAGATACACATGTTAATAATTTCCCAAAGAGATGTGAGTTTTACCATGGTTAGGCTTAAACCCCAGTTATTCCTACCATCTATATATCCGTAGTTCGGTATACACAAACAAGCGAAAATCCAATTAAGCACAATGAGAAACAAATTAACTACTCATTAACTTAGTCACGTTAAACAAATAGCTAATTTACAAGGAAGTCACACAAACCAATATTCATCTATGGTCAAATCAAAATACAAGTTCATGATTCTCATTCTCAAAGAATATATAGAATCCAATTCATGATCAGAAATAAATTCATATGTAACTAATTTCAATATCAAAATTCTAGGCTATGGTCAAGCACAAAGAACCAAATATCAATTCAACTGGTGAATGAAAATTAATCACCAATCTGAAATCCATGGATTGAACAATTATAAAACTAGAGTAATCATAATTAATTCCAATCTGATCAAAAGTCAAGAATGCCCAATTCATCTTGCTGTACTCAAAACCAGACGAACTGGAAATAGAATTGGTAAAGTAACTTCCCATCGTTCTCTGCTTTCACTTGACTAAAACTCCAACGGTGGGATTATAAAATTGCATCCACTCTCACCGCTTAATTGTCGATCGGTAGTTTCCAAAAAAAACAAAAAAAATAGGGTAAATTACACTTTCATATATCAGGTTTGGGGTATATTTCAATTCCTTACAACATCTTTAAAACATTTCACTTTCATACCTTAAGTACTATTTTATTTCAAAATAATACATCCGTTACATTTTCCATTCATTGATTTGTTAAATGCTAACGTGGCTGCCGCATATATGTCATGTGGCCGCCAAATGTGAAGAAGAAGAAGAATAAGAGGGAGGAAGAAAAGAAAAAAAAAATTGAAACGAAACCCACATCTGTGATGAGAAGAAGGAGAAGGAGAAAAAGAAGGAAGAGGGAGGAGGGTCGCCGGGCCAAGAGGGGGGGACCGGAGGTGGGTCACTGGCGGGGGGGGGGAACAAATATTTTCTTCTTCTTCTTCTTCTCTGTCGCTGGGGTGGGGGGGGGGAGGGAGGAGGGTTGCCGGGCTGAGAAGGGGGACGGGAGGAGGGTCGCTGGGCGGGGGGGGGGACAAATTTTCTTTTTCTTTTTCTTTCTTTTGGGTCGCTTGGGGGGGGGGGACAATTTTCTTCTTCTTCTTCTTCTTCTTCTTCTTCTTCTTCTTCTTGTAGATGTAGGTTTCAATATATTTTTTTTTTTGAGAAAATTCAGGTTTAAAAAAAAAAAAACTATTTTATTTGCCACGTGGCAGATATTTGGCAGCCACGCCAGAATTTAACAGATCAATGGATGAAAAATGTAACGGAGGTATTATTTTGAAATAAAATAGTACTTAAGGTATGAAAGTGAAATGTTTTAAAAATGTTATAAGGAATTGAAATAGACCCTAAACCTGAAGTATGAAAGTGTAATTTACCAAAAAAAATTTGTTCGGTTGAAATCTCTCATCCGTAAATAATAACAAAGCCCACGTCAGCACCAGCACTTGGTTCAAATAATTAGAACTCACATGGCCAATTGATCTTGAGCTCAAAATCAAATAATAATTAATTAAATAAATGAAGGGTATAATATAGTCCTGTTCAGAATTATAGTCTTGCAAAAAAAATATTTTTAATGAACATAGTCATGCCATACTCATATGTCATCTTCAATGTTCAACAATTTATTAGTTTTAAGTTTATACTTTAAATTTAGTGGTTAATTAAATAAAATTACTGTTGGTTGTTTTCAAATATAACCGTTGAGTTTGAATCAATTATTCTAACTGAAAAATAAAACTCTAAAAAAAGCAAAGAGGGAGCTCCATTTAGCTAGCCTGATGCCTCTTTGACATTTCAAGCTCAAGATTTGAACTTGGAAACTCTATTCTTGCTTCATCATGGGCACTAATTTTGTTAACTTTCTCAGACTCCGCTGGACCATGAACATGGTAAGAAAATAAATTGGCTCCCTTGGATTAGGACGTGTTCGAACTCGAGTGGCCGACTTGTAAATTAACTCAAGCTAGCGCACTAACTTGACTTTAACGAGAGATGACAAATCTAGGTCCAAACATTACCCCGATTCTCATGAGCCTCGGCTTAGAATTGCAAGTCTTTCTTACTTGAACCCAATACGCCTAATCATCAATGCTTCTCAAGTAATTCAAGTTTCGCCAGCAGCTTGAGCGGAAGCTTCCCCGCAGTGAAGTGACCGTTTTACCCTTTTAAGTCCACGCTTCCCTCATCGGTCTTCCTTCCTAAATATATTGATCACTATTGCAAGTCTTTCTTTATGTTTTTTAATTCAACCCAACGACTCCAATACGCCTAATTACCAAAGCTTTTAAATTAATTAATATTTTAAGTTTCCGCATGAAGATGCGTGCAGTGCAGCTTGAGAGGAGGCTTCCCCCGCAGGTATTTAGAATGCATCTGTGTGGAAGATCCAATGTCTGTTCTGCATCTTAATCTGCACGATTAAATTCAGTGGTTGTTAATTTTACATATCATGATCAATCCGCTAATTTTCCATATCTCAAGTGTGAAGGGCAAGCAATTTAAAGTTCCTCCTGTTCAAATCACCCAGAACCCAGGTTGCTAGCTAGGTTTTGTGTTCAAATTTCGTTTTTGTTATTTATTTCGTTTTCTTTTCGGCGTTTGAAGGCCTCTGTGCTGAGGCTCAGTGATAGCAGTGGTGAGTTTCTTTTTCAGAGATTCCTTCTTCCCAGTAATATATCAATTATTTAGGTCTGTTAGGGTTTTTTTATTGCCAAGTTTTATACAACATAGTTAGTGAAGACACAGGTATTTGAGAAATATTTAATGGCATGGCAGATATTTCTCAGCAAAACTGAGAGAGTAGTTATATTTTGTTTAAATATTTGTATAGTTTTTGGTAGGGATTAGCTTTATGGCACTCCAGATCTTCAGCGACTGATCAGAGCCTATTACCAATCTGCTGCTACTCTAAACCTTCTCAGGGTGTTCGTCACCGGAACTTACGCATCTATGCAGAGGGTAGTGGAACTTGGATTTTACAGATCACAGCGAGCAGGGTGATAGGTTTGTTTCCTCATTTTTACCATTTTAGAACTTAGATTAGTGATAAATTAATTCGAATCATGTGGCATGAACTTAAACCTCTGTTTGGCAAAGTGGGCTCTTTACCCCCAAAGTTGCTTGCTTTTGGTAATATTTGGAATTGTGCTTCTAAGCTGTTTTTCAAGCTTTTGGCCATACTAAATGGAGCTAAATCGAACAGCTCTTTTGCTGCATTGTATTTGCTTTCCTAAATCGATTTTTTTTTTTTTTTAAATTGTCAATGGGTTTTGTAGATCAAAGTTCTTCAGGATGAAAATTATGTTTCAAATTGGATTGCGATATGAATATTTACACAATCAAGGTGTTGAATTCATCTTTGTTTTGGTGTATTGTGGTTTTGAATGTTATTTAGTGCATTATAGCGTCAACTAAAATGTAGTTTTGTATATTTTAAGTACTCATTTTGATTTTGAGCAGTAAGAGAGAGATTTAGCACGTATTTGAGGAAATAAGAACAACTTATTTTGAAATGGCTAGAGTTTGAGATTCTCAGAAGGAAGCTCCTATAAGATTTTGGTTTTTGGTGTTGATTCGAATGAGTTTCAGTTTGATATTTATTAATTTTTGTTTTGTGGGTAGTATTTTTCTTCATGTTGCTAAGATTTTGGTTCATGCAGTTTTAATTAGGAATCTGAATAATCGTTTTAATTTTGGTTAATGCAGGATTAGGAATTTAGGATTCCTATAAGTTTGTGGCGGGAGGGTGGAGTGGTTTCAAGACGACATCGTTGATAGTCGAGGCTCATCTGTGAAAAATGTAAGATTTTGTGTGGGTTGTTTTGTTTTGTTATTCCAAAAGCGTAACACTTCAGATGCTGTAAGTATGAGTTAATCGTTGTATTTTTAATTCAATGTTTTATTTGTTTGCTTAGTACCCGAGAAGACAAAGGAAAGTAAACAAGGAAAATTGGATTTTTAATTCACTGTTGTATTTTTATTCACTGTTTTATTTGTTTACTAAGCCTGAACTTCACTCTTTTCCATCTACTTACAATTGATTTCAGTTTTTAGGTTCATGCTGTCACAGCAATCATTTACATGTTTGAAACATAAGTTTTCATACAATTTTTAATCCCGCAGCAATGCGCGGGCACCATTAACTAGTGTTTACTAAGCCTAAACTTCACTTTTTTCCATCTACTTACAATTGATTTCAGTTTTTAGGATCATGTTGTCACAACAATTCCTCCACCACTCTTTAATCCTCATTTCTTCCATGTATTTCCATTTCTTCCATGTATTTCCATTGTGTATCTAACAAAAAATGAAAACTAAAAACGGAAAGGTTAACAAATGGGCTCCTACTTATTCAAACCTGTCCAGTGCACTATAAATTTGATGACTTGCAATAAGAAACCGAGTAAGTTCTCCTGTCTTTATGTCTCTCATTAAGTCCCAATGAATCCGACTGCTACCCATTTGTTTTAAGCAACAAAACATAGTTAGCTCAGTAGTGGTACCTCACTGGTCAGTACAATTAACTCCCTAACCTCGCTCTCACACAACAGTTTTCTTTAGTTTTCCAAATCCTAGCTATTTTTTGCTCCTTCGTTTCTAATTAATAAATTTCGTTGTTGATGTTGTACTGTTATCGAAGAGGCGTTTGCTTTCTCAAAAGTTGGGCTGCTTAGAGATCACGAGGGTTGATCTCAGAAATCGAAGAGGCGTTTGCTTTCTCAAAAGTTGGGCTGCTCAAAGACCACGAAGGCCGATCTCAGAAATCGAAGAGGCGCTCGCTTTCTCAAAAGCTGGGCTCCCCAGAGACCACGAGGGCCGATCTCAGAAATCGAAGAGGCACCTACTTTTCCAGCCTTGTCAGCACCTGTCACACGCACACTCAGCTTTGCGGAAATTATGGGCATTCTGTCAAAGACTTCTGGGGAAGTAGAAAACACATGAATCTTACTGTTCAATCACCCACTTCCCACACGCAACAATAGCTCATGGGCTCATGGGTACCACAGATAACTTTGCCAAAGTTCTCTGCCAAAGTTGAGCACGTGAAGCTTGCAGCTCCCACTACATCGCTCTGACCAAGAAGGGTAAAAGAATAGCAAAGAAACAGCACTAACAAAGTTTAGACACATAAATTTTGAAGGTCTAGCTACCATATTATTACCCACAAGGGTAAAGGAACAGTACCACTGCTGGATAATTGGAAAGTCCCTGTGTGTCAACCTCTGTGCTTCGTGGCAAGGTAGACTAGCAAACATGCCCAACCTTTACTCACATTCGAGAAAACACTCCCAATAAGATTGCTTGCTCCAAAATCGAAGAGGCACTATCCTCCGAATCTAAAGAGCCAGACTCCCAACATGACTACTTTCTTAAAAATCGAAGAGAGGGTAAAGGAACAGTACCATTGCTGGATAATTGGAAAGTCCCTGTGTGTCAACCTCTGTGCTTCGTGGCAAGGTAGACTAGCAAACATGCCCAACCTTTACTCACATTCGAGAAAACACTCCCAACAAGATTGCTTGCTCCAAAATCGAAGAGGCACCGCCCTCCGAATCTCGAGAGCCAGACTCCCAACATGATTACTTTCTCAAAAATCGAAGAGACACTGCTCCCCGAATCTCGAGAGCCAGACCCCCAGCATGATTGCTTTCTCAAAAATCGATGAGGCATCGTTCTCCGAATCAATCGAAGAGGCGCTCGCTTTCTCAAAAGCTGGGCTGCTCAGAGACCACGAGGGTCGATCTCAGAAATCGAAGAGGCACCTACTTTTCTAGCCTTGTCAGCACCTGTCACACGCACACTCAGCTTTGCAGAAATTATGGACATTCTGTCGAAGACTTCTGGTGAAGTAGAAAGCACATGAATCTTACTGTTCAATCACCCACTTCCCACACGCAACAATAACTCATGGGTACCACAGATAACTTTGCCAAAGTTCTCTGCCAAAGTTGAGCACGTGAAGCTTGGAGCTCCCACTACATCGCTCTGACCAAGAAAGGTAAAAGAATAGCAAAGAAACAGCACTAACAAAGTTTAGACACATAAATTTTGAAGGTCTAGCTACCATATTATTACCCACAAGGGTAAAGGAACAGTACCACTGCTGGATAATTGGAAAGTCCCTGTGTGTCAACCTCTGTGCTTCGTGGCAAGGTAGACTAGCAAACATGCCCAACCTTTACTCACATTTGAGAAAACACTCCCAACAAGATTGCTTGCTCCAAAATCGAAGAGGCACCGTCCTCCGAATCTCGAGAGTCAGACTCCCAACATGACTACTTTCTCAAAATCGAAGAGAGGGTAAAGGAACAGTACCATTGCTGGATAATTGGAAAGCCCCTGTGTGTCAACCTTTGAGCTTCGTGGCAAGGTAGACTAGCAAACATGCCCAACCTTTACTCACATTCGAGACAACACTCCCAACAAGATTGCTTGCTCCAAAATCGAAGAGGCACCGCCCTTCGAATCTCGAGAGCCAGACTCCCAACATGATTACTTCCTCAAAAATCGAAGAGACACTGCTCTCCGAATCTCGAGAGTCAGACCCCCAGCATGATTGCTTTCTCAAAAATCGAAGAGGCATCGTTCTCCGAATCTCGAGAGCCAGATACCACAGACCACTTTTTCAAAGTGTTCTGACAGAGTTAAAACATGTGAAACTGGCAGCTCCCACTACCGTGCTATGACCAAGCAGGGTAAAGGAATAACATTACTACTTGTTGTTAGGGAGACTCCTATATATGTCGACCTCCATCCCCAATAGACAGGCAGACCTGCAAAAATGCTCAACCCTTCATCATATCTGAGAGGGCACTCCCAACGAAGCCTTTCGAAATATTCAGCTTTCTTTCCCCCCGATAATACCTCTGCAAACAAGCTATACTAGAGCAAGAATATCTCATATCATCAGGGTTAAAAGCAAGAGTATCCCATATCATCATGCTTTTTCCCTGTCTTTTCTTTTGGCCTTGTTTTTACCTGCAAGACAAGGAGAAAGAGAGCAATCAGTCAGCACTTGGAATTAAGCTTCCAGCCAGGAACTGACTGCCTGGAACCCCTTACCTGATTACTTACCTGGCATTGCTCTCGAGTACTCATCTTCAACATCTTATGTTTCCAGGGAAGATTCCGCATCTGCTTGAGGAACAGATAGGGCAAGTGCGAAGGATACAAGGAAGCATGTGGAGACAAGCGTAACAGCACCCGTGCCGATACATCCATTACTCTGTCAAAAGCAAAAGTATCCCATATCAGCAGGGTGGAACGTACTCTAGATTTGATGGACTTGTTTTGACCCTCAAATTCTTCAGTCGGCCTTATACTCTGGAGGAAACCAGAAAACCCTCCAGCTCAGTTCAAGAATAAGCCTGTGGAAAGTTACTTCTTCAAAAGCAAAAGTATCTCATATCATCTCTTCTCATTTTTCTTCTCTTTATCCTTCATGCTGCTGCAAGATGGGGAGAAGGTGAACAATCAGTCGGAGCTCTGATTGCTTACCTTGTCTCTCACCTCTTTCAGCAGACCCCCTAGCTCGGCGACTTGGGGGACTCCTACTACATGGTTTGTATCGCGCTTGACCAAGCCTGAAACTACAAGTAAGCTTCAAGTGAAATTGATACATTACCTTGTGCATCTCCACCAGTTAAAGATACCACCCCTGGATGGAGGAAGAGTACTTCCAGAGAAGATGCCACATCTACCTATGAGACAGATAAGGCAAGTCAAGACGACACCACACTCCGATACTTAGAAGTTTTGTGATTACGAGATCATTCTCCCACAATATTTCCTAATGTCATTTGTACTAAATCATTCACTTGTACTCACTAAAAGAGAGCTTGAACCTATGTACTTGTGTAAACCCTTCACAATTAATGAGAACTCTTCTATTCTGTGGACGTAGCCAATCTGGGTGAACCACGTACATCTTGTGTTTGCTTTCCTATCTCTATCCATTTATATACTTATCCACACTAATGACCGGAGCAATCTAGCGAAGATCACAAAAAGCGACCGTTTTCGCTACCTAGGATCTATCTTGCAAGAGAACGGAGAATTAGATGGAGATCTCAACCATAGAATACGAGCTGGATGGAAAGAGTGCATCCGGCGTGTTGTGTGACCGTCGTAGGCCACTGAAGCTTAAGGGAAAATTTTATAGGACGGCAATAAGGCCAGCGATGTTGTATGGCACAGAATGTTGGGTGGTGAAGCATCAACACGTACACAAAATGGGTGTAGCGGAGATGAGGATGCTTCGTGGGATGTGTGGGCACACGAGAAAGGATAAGATTGGGAATGAGGATATTCGAGGTAAAGTAGGAGTAGCCGAAATTGTAGGAAAGATGAGAGAAAATCGGCTCCGGTGATTTGGACATGTGCAAAGAAGGCCGACTGACGCTCCGGTTCGAAGATGTGACTACGGGACAGAGGTTCAGGGCCGAAGGGGTAGAGGAAGACCTAGGAAAACTTTGGAAGAGACTCTAAGAAAAGACTTAGAGTACTTGGATCTAACGGAGGACATGACACAAAACCGAGCGCAATGGCGTTCTAGGATTCATATAGCCGACCCCACTTAGTGGGAAAAGGCTTTGTTGTTGTTGTTGTTGTTGTTGATGTTGTACTGTTAAAGAGGCACTAATGTCTAAAATGATCAGGTATGTTTTTAAAGCATGTATATATTCTTTGTAGTTTAGAATTGGCAATATCCAAAATGCTACCATTTATACATTAATGCGTCTGTGTGGGGTCTTTCTCGTGTATTCTGAACAAGATGAAGCCAAGACACAAACAGCAATAAAAAGATAGAAAACAACGGATGTTTGCCACTTTGTAGTGTATTTGTAAAGCTTCATTTATATTTTGTGTTTTCTATGCAGTAGAGAAACAGAGGTCGCACTTGGTGCGATGGCAAGTGCCTTCGCCCATAAGCGGTAGGTCTCGGGTTCGAGACTTGGGAGCAGCCTCTCCATAAAATGGGGGTAAGGCTAGCCGACATTCACCTCTCCCAGACCCTGCGTAAAGCGGGAGCCTTGTGCACTGGGTACGACCTTTTTTATGCAGTAGAGAAACCACATAACAGAAGAAAACTTCTCGTCTACCAAACATCCAAGAGGCAAGTCTTAAAATGATGATGAATCCTTTCAGGAGTACGATGGCGATGAGCACTGGAGAAACCTGTACACCTTTCCCTGCTTCAGCTTCTCAATGGAAATATGATGTGTTTTTGAGTTTTAGAGGTGAAGACACTAGAAAGGGATTCACAGACCACTTACACACTGCATTGGAAAGTCATGGAATAATAACTTTTAGGGATGACCCTAAACTTCATAAAGGGGAATCTATTTCTCCAGGACTTCTTACTGCAATTGAACAATCAAGATGTGCACTCATCGTTCTCTCAGAAAATTATGCATCATCATCATGGTGCTTGATTGAACTTTTACATATTCTTAAGTGCATGGAAGCAAGAGCAGCAGTGCTACCAATTTTTTATAATGTTGATCCCTCTGATGTACGAAAGCAAACAGGACGTTTTGCAGAAGCCTTCATTAAATATGGAAACAACCCTGGGGCTGACGAAAAGGAGGTGGAAAGTTGGAGATATGCTTTAATGAAAGTGGCAAATTTCTCCGGGTGGGATTCAAGGGACTGGTAACATTTTGATTTTTCTCGCAACCGTGTCCTCCTTATATAATGACACACACACCCACACACACCCACACCCACACACCCACACCCCTTGTGTGACTTCTGTTTGAGGAATAGAAATAGAGCCAATTATATCACAAATTACAATGGACATAGCTATAAATGCCATTAAACGAATTCCATCTATAGTTCGATAACTCTTATACAATGCACATCATATCTAGGTGTGTGATTATTGTGTTTTGACTTGACTCAATGCAAAAAATAGTAAAAACATTTTGGAACTTATATATCTAACTATTCTTTTCCATAGGTATGAAGCAAGGCTTGTCAAAGATATTGTTCAAGTGGTATGGAAAAAGTTGCGCCCAACATTATCATGTCATGTGGGAGACATTGTTGCCATCGATTCAAGGTCGAAACCAGTTATTAATTTGTGTTTAGATGCAACGTTGAATGATGGTTGCTTTATTGGGATATGGGGGATGGGCGGTATTGGTAAGACAACTATTGCAAGAGTTGTGTACGAGAGAATCTCTCATGAGTTTGAATTCCAAATATTTCTAGCTGATGTTAGAAGTACTGTCGAACAAGGTGGTCTACCTCACCTGCAAAAGCAACTTCTTTGTAAAATCGGGATGGAAGAAAATGACAAATGGGATGTTCAAGAAGGAGCAGCAATCATACGCAGGTTCCTATGTGGCAAAAAGGTTCTTTTAGTTCTTGATGATGTGAACCATTTGCATCAATTAGAATATTTGGCTGGAAATCAAGAGTGGTTTGGATTGGGGAGCAGAGTTCTCATTACAACTAGAGATGAGCATTTGCTACTTAAACACGGAGTGGAGAGACGGTTTGAGGTTAAAGGACTCAATAACGATGACTCTCTTCAACTTTTTAGCCGGAATGCCTTTAAGAAAGATTGCCCTGAACCTTGTTTTGTTCATTTGTCAAATCGTGTGGTAAATTATGCCAAAGGTCTTCCACTAGCTCTTAAAGTCTTGGGATCTTTTTTGTACGGAAGAGATTTAAGTTCATGGAACAATGTGTTGGATAAACTAAGAGAAATTTGTAATTCAGAAGTTTTTGAGACACTTAAAATAAGTTACGATGCTCTAGATGACAATGAGAAGAAAATTTTTCTAGACATTGCATGTTTCTTTAATGGAGAGGAAAAAGATGGAGTAAGACAGGCACTTGAAGCTAGTGGTTTTTATGCACATATTGGAATAGATGTCCTTATTGAGAAATCTCTCTTAACTGTTAATTCAGTCGGTCAGCTGTCGATGCATGATTTACTCCAAGAAATGGGTCAAGAAATTGTCCGTCGAGAGTCTCCTGATGATCCAGGCAAGCGTAGCAGGTTGTGGCGTACAGATGACATCAATCGTGTCCTGAGCGAAAATGCAGTAAGAGGCTCTTATTACAGTACTGGATTTGATTGCACTAGTTATGCTTTGCTTATGTTATGACCTAGAATATATTCATGTTGACCAGGGAACAGAAACAATTGAATGTATAATCATGGACCCAGATGAGCTAGGAGCAGTCCAAGTGAATGCTAAATCCTTTTCAATGATGAAAAATCTGAGATTCCTCCGGCTATATAATGAGAACCTCTTTAACAGGCTTGAATATCTTCCCAATAGTTTGCAGTTTCTTCAATGGTGCAGCTTTCCTCTAAAAACTTTGCCGTCATCTTTTTGTCCAGAGCATCTAGTGGAACTTCACATGGTGTATAGTAGCCTTGAACATCTTTGGAAGGGAATAAAGGTAATTCTCTCACTCATTGATTTTTATTAACTACATTAACATCATGCACTGCTAATTTTGCTATGTTTTCACATGATAACAGCATGCGTACAATTTGAAAATCCTTGATCTTAGTGAGTCTCCAGTTCTTGTGGAAACTCCAGACTTCAGAGGTATGCCAAATCTGGAGTATCTGAATCTTTCACTTTGCGACCAATTGTATGAAGTTGACCAGTCTCTGGGGACACTTGAAAGACTTCAGGTTCTGATGTTGATTGGTTGCAGAAACCTTGCGCATCTTCCAAGAAGTGTATCTGGTTTAAAGTCTCTGAGAGTTCTTGATGTTTATGGTTGCTCAAGGCTTAAAAATTTGCCAGAAGACTTGGGCCATGTTGAGAGTTTGGAACGGCTTGATGTGTGTGGAACTGCTATAACTGAACCACCTTCTTACATTGGTCTTTTTAGGAACCTGAAGAAATTATCATTCGACAGTTTTACAAAATAGAAGTTCAAGTTGGCCACATTTGTGGTTGTCTTCTTCATCTGGTTGGCAATCTTTAACGCACTTGAGTCTACGAGACTGCAAGATTTTGGATGGAGGAATTTTAAATGATATCGGCTGCCTCTCCTCATTAAGGCATTTGGTTCTAGCCCGAAATCCTCTTTCTAGCTTACCCATGAGTATTTGTCAACTCTCCAAACTTGAATACCTTGATGTGTCTGGTTGCTACTGTCTTCAAACATTAATCCCAGAGCTTCCTTCTGCAATATCTTTTGTTAACGCTTCCAATTGCACGGCATTGGAATCAGCTCGTGTAGACATGATTAAGCTTTTTGCTAACTGTTTCAAGCGGGTGGAGAAGCAAGTTTGCACGAGTATGATATTTGATTGTCTAGGATGCAAGTTTGTGGTTCCTGGAAGTGAAATTCCAGAGTGTCATGTTATATGAATTTGGTTGATTCATGTTTCTCTCACTTCATAAAATTTGCTTCTAATTTGATATAGGAATTAATTTGGAAAGTTTTCTTAATCTTAATAACAATTTTCAATTTAAATATATTTTTTAATGAAATAGTCTATCTTTTAAAATATTTATCAATAAAATAATGTACCTATATATATATAATTTTTTTTTTGCCAACTATAAATTTTTACCATAATTTACCTATATAATAATGTACCTGTTATTTAATTTTTACAACACTAATGTATCTTAAAAATAATTTACTTATTGTTTAGTTTTAGCAAAAATAATTTACCTACTGTGTATAATTGGTGAAGCTAATGATGTACATATTGTTTAATTTTTTAAAAATTAATGTATGTACAAAAATAATTTATCTATTGTTCAAATTTTAGGATAAAAATTTACATGTTTTTATTTAACAATAATGTATCTACAATTTTATTTTTGTATGAATATAATTTACCTACTTTTTAATTTTATATGAAACTAATTTACCTACTGTGTCAGTAATATATCTACAATTTTACATACAATATTTACCTTTTTTTTTTCTCACAACAATAGTGTATCTACAATTTTGTTTTTGTATGAATATAGTTTACCTACAATTTAACTTTTCAAAAAATGTATCTTCTATTTTATATTTTACTATCATATATATGTTTCTGTGTTCGCAAAATAATTTATCTAAAGTTATATAGTTAAGAGATATGCTAATGAATTATATTAATTCATTATTAGACTGATATAAGAAATTGTTAAAAACGTTAGTTATAATGGTTGGCTAATAATGGTTGTATGAGAACAGTTATAGAAAGTTGTGGCATAAATTGTAAATAACTTATATTAATAGGTTATTTATTTTCTTATGTGGTAATTTATTTAAATTTTGGGTTTTGATTGAATGTTTATTCATAAGTGGGTTTTTATCTGAAGTATATGAGTTGTATGGGTCTATATCTAAACAACCCTTAATTTTATTCAGTAAGCATAAACACTTTACACTTCATATACAGCCTAAAACAATAGAGCAATATAAGAAACTGTTGAAAGCAAACATTAAATTTGCGATTACCCCAATCTTCTACTTGATCATATACCAAGTTATTGAAGCTGACATTTTTTATTCTATAAGCTTAGAAATCATAAGAAAAACAATTGTTGAGTTGATAGTAATCTCAAATAGCAATCTCTAACAAAAATTTGACCATAAAAAATGTATATCCATCTCCCAATCAGTATCAATCTTCATCCTCAACAAAAAGTTTCAGTTTTTCTTGCAAAAACACACATACCCCAGTGCTTAGTTTTCCAAAGATTATAACCAAATGGTTCAGCTGCTAGTGTTGGTGCCCGAAGCGCTGAACTGAAATGCACCCACTAGAAATCCAAATAAACAACCCTGCAAAGCAACTAAACTAATTTCAGCAATTCTACCTAAACATAAATAGAACAATTACACAAACCTTACAATCAAAGGTCTAATTTTTCAACTACATACAACAAACTCAGATCATTTAGGTGTGAATCAAAATCATAAATACCCAAGCCTAAAATAGAGACTTTAAAGACCTATTTGAAATTAATATCATGTATGCTTTTAGTTTCTAATTATAATGGAAATGACATGGAAAATATATTCATTGAAACACTAAATGAACAACACAATAGTATCACACCACAAATTCCCAATTACAGTGATACATGCTTGATCACACAAACTTTCTGTTCAGCAATCCGATTATGAAACCACCAAGTCTAAGGAGTTTTATAACTAAAATTCTAGTGGGTAAAGGGTGACAACATTTTTGAAGTAAAATTAAAGATCACTAAACATATATTAGTACAAATAAAGATATACCCAACACACAAGATCACAAAAGAAGAACTTTTACTTGAGCAGCACAAAAGGACATCCTCTGCATTTCATTCAAAATCCAACAATCTGAGCTCAAAATAATTCAAAAATTGTGTGTGAAACTCACTTATCACTCAAAATGATTCAAGAAACTTTTACCTTACCATATATTTGGAGTGCAGTGAGGCTTTGAGAGTTGACACTGTTCAGTGCTCATCAAGAATTGTGTATCATACTCACTTATCACTCCCCTATATAGGAAAAGAAGGCCATAAGTATTATGGACATAAGTAATATGAATATTTTCCTTTTTATTTCTCTCTCATGAGGAATTCCTATGCAAGGGCCTTTAGCTAAAGTGTTTAAAAACATTTATCGTACTCGAGTCCTAAGTTTGATTCTAGAAGTTATTGAAATTTCGAAGACGATGTGGAATGCAATAACAGATCGATGTTACTCTTTTTCCTTCCAAGCAAGATTTTGATGAGGCCACTCAAAATTGCTTCATTTCAATTTTCAATGAATATTCTACTTTTTTTCGAAAAAAAAAAAAAGGTAAATTACATGGTAGCCCCTCATGTTTGAGGTCTATTACAACTCCATACAACATCTTTAAAACATTTAACTTTCATACCTCACGTACTATTTTATTTCAAAATAATACTTCTGTTACATTTTTTATCTATTGATCTGTGAAGCACTGACGTGGCTGCCACATTTGTGCCACGTGGCAAACAATTTTTTTTTAATTATTTAAAAAAAAAACCTGAATTTTCTCAACCAAAAAAAAAAATTAATAAAAAAAGAAAAAAAGAAAAAAAAGAAACCCATCCCATTTCCTCGCAACCCCTCTCTCCTCTCTCTCTACGCACAGAGCTATCAACCAACAACAATGGGAATCTCAGTCCCCAGCTTTTTCAAAGAGCGAAAGTTCTCTTTCATTTTCACACTTTTACTCCCACTTGCCTGCATCACCATCCTCCTCTTCACCAAGACCACCACCAACGCCCCTTACCCTCTCTTCTTCTACTCCGATCTCCAGACCTCCCCCTCCTCCTCCCAACCCATCTCTCCTCCCGCGCCCTCCAACCCCGCCAGAGAGCCACCCCAAGGGGACGAACTCATTTGGGAGGAACCCATTTTCCCTGTTTTTGGGATTCCCAATTGGAACCTCTATAAGGGTCTGGTGGCCGTCGATTACATTCCGTGCTTGGACAATTCCGAGGCGATCAAGGCGTTGAAGTCACGCCAGCATATGGAGCACCGCGAGCGGCATTGCCCCCAAGCGCCCCCGCGGTGCCGGTTCCGTGGCCTCAGAGCAGGGACATGGTGAGATTTGTACTTGTAAGATTTGTTTCTGGTTTTTCTCAAATGGGTTTTGTTGATTTGATTAAAAAAGGTGGGTGATTTGGTTTGTTCTTGGATTTTCTCAAAAGGGTTTGTTGATTTGAATGAAGAAGATGGGTGATTCCATTCGTTGTTGGATTTGATACTTGAAGCAGTTGGCTTTGAATTTAATTTTCTGAGAAAAAAAATCATGATTTTCCTTTCTGGGAAAGTGTTTGTGGAAGTGTGAAGTGGTTGTTGGCTTATTCTGTTGACTTTCACTCAATAATGTATTGGTGATGTTCTCTGTTTCTAGATATGGTATGACAATGTTCCTCACCCGAAGCTCGTCGAGTACAAGAAGGACCAAAACTGGATGAAGAAGTCCGATGACTATCTTCATCTTCATCTTCTCCCCCCCCCCCGGCAACCCAGAAAAAAAAAATACACCCCTTCAGTTTGTCTTCCCCCCTCCTCCTCCCCTCTCTTCTCCCCCATCTTCATCTTCTTCCCCCGACCCCTACCTGCAACCTAGAAAAAAAAAAACCCAGATCACGTCCGCCATCGTCGGGTTTGTGAGGTGAAAATGAGAGGAATGAGTGTGGATTTAAGTAGTGGGGTGTGTAGAGGAGGGAAGATGATGGGTGCGAAGGTGGGTGCGGGTGCGCTCGGGGAAGGTGGGGGTGGGGTGGGCTGGGTTGCAGGGGGAAGAAGATGAATATGAGGGAGAAGAGAGGAGGAGGAGGGGGTGAGGAAGAGGAATGAGGTTTCTGTGAGGTGGGGGGTGGGGGAAAAATGATCTGGGTTTGTTTTTGGTGGTTGGGGGGTGTTGCGGGGATATGGGATGGGTTTCATTTTTTTTTGTTTGAGAAAATTCAGATTTAAAAAAATAAAAAATTTTGTCACATAGCACATATTTGGCAGTCACGTGGCAGTCACGTCAGCACTTAACGGATCAATGAATGTAAAATGTAACAGATGTATTATTTTGAAATAACGTAGGATGTGAGGTATGAAAGTGAAATGTTTTAAAGATATTGTATGAGATTGTAATAGACCTCAAACTTGAGGGGTTACTATGTAATTTACTAAAAAAAAAATAGATAAAAAGCATCTCTTAATTAATAACTATAGTTGGCATGGGTGGGATCTGGAAGATAATCTTAGGTCCCATGGTGATTTTGACAGCATCCGTAACCTCTTCGACACCATTGAGCATGAAGGCTCGGGCCTCCACCACGAATTTAATGTCTTTGCCTGCATAGCTTCTGCTCCAACATAGCCTACCACCAATTTGAAACACAAACCAAACGCACACAAAACAGAAGAAAGAGTGCTTTTCAATGATATTCTATTTCATCTCAAAACAAAGGTATATATACAACCCTATACAACCACATACAATCCTATCAGAATAAAGGAAAGAATAATTACATCCTAAACTAGGAAACCAAATATGGTAGGAATCCCACAATTATAGGAAACCTAATACAAGTCAACATTCCCCTTCAAGTTGGTGCATAGATGTTGCACATGCCCAACTTGTCTAGAAACTTGGAGAACTTGTAACTAGAAACCACCTTAGTGAGAATAACTGCTACTTGGTCGTTCTTTCCTATGGGAGGAACCTCAATTACTTTGCTATCTAGCTTCTCTTTAATAAAGAACCTGTTAACCTCTACATGCTTGGTCCTATCATGTTGCACTGGATTATGAGCAATATCACGAGCAGCTTTATTATCACAAAATAACTTCATCGGCTAACCATGTTTGACCCCCACATCTTGTAACAGAAAATTGAGCCACAAGA